CCAAAATGATTTTGGGAGGTTTGCAAGGCTTGTTATTTTTTGCACTATATTTTATAGTGTATGATTCTTCATTTTAAATATAACATTATGTTGCAGTGTATGTGGCAGAGTCCACTACACGAGAATCTCATTCTCTTTTAGATAATCTAAAATTTACATTTAAGATATTATCCACATCAATAGATCTTAGTATGAAAATACCTTTACCTATTTGTTTCTCATCTTCTTGCTTGAGTTCTTTGAACCTTTCAAGATTTTCATGCTTGAATTTTATAAACTATACATGACCATTTCTGAAATAGTTATCAGTAAATGTGATGAAATAAGAAAAATCTCATCTAGCGTTAATTGACATGGATCCACATACATCACTATGATTAGCCATAGTAATTGTACATCTCTTTCTCATTTTCAAGTAAAATGAAATTTGGTCATCTTGTCTAAAATGCATGATTCGTATTTGCCTAATGATTCAAAATCATCCGACTCCAACTATCTATCTCTATGTAATTTGAAGATGCGTTTTTCATTTATGTGACCAAACTTATAATTCCAAATATGGGATTTAGGTTATCACTTTTATGTCTTTTAATTTTTATACTCAATATAGAATACCAAATATTTAGAATATTATTGTCGTTTTGTAATTTACTATAACATTAAGATTTTATGAAAGTAAAATGAAAAATAAATATCCTTAACATTACAATAATTTATGTCCAAAAATGGAATTTATTTAAGGTTCTAGTAATAGTGGATACAAAGTAACATTTCTCTAATTCCAATACTAAGCCTCAAGGCAATGGCAAAAAGTATGCTCATACATGCAATGCAACAATATTTGCTCATTTTCAACATATAGGTCAACTTCTCCATATTGCAATGGTCTATTTCTATTTAGTTTCTGTATATTTATATAAATATGAAATCCATATTTGGTATTTAATAACCAAGAGCTAATGAAGTAAATGTAAACTTTGAAGTTTCTTTTGCAATGACATATCATTCCAAAAATGATATTAAGGGTCATCAGACTTGATAATGTCCTTATTTACTTTGACTGCTTTAGCCATCTTAATTGTTTTCCAAAAGCTCTTTTAGACTTTATCTTAGTACCCTTGAAAGAATCAATGGCTTGCTTACTACTAATTTTGATATTGGGCTTAACAGTATTAAGCATGTTCAACAACTTAATAAGTGTACACTCGAATTTATTCATATCAAAATTAATAATTAACTATGAATAACTCTTTAGCAGAGATTGGAGAACTATGTTTATACTTTGTTCACAGTTCATGGTTGAATTTAATTGAGACAATTCCTCAATATAGTCAACATCTTTAGTACACGAACACTAACTAAAGATTTTTCTACCATTATGCATTGTTATAGTTGCTAGGATAACTCATATCTTTCCACATGTGAATGTTCATCATTCAACTCCTTGAAATGAAAAATCATTGTGTTAAATACCCACATGTTGCTTTTGTAACTCGGGTGACATGACTCCAAGCATCACACATGTTTTACTACTATCGTCATCACAGTATTTATTATAGCAGCCACATCTTCCTTATTCGAGCCATCAGTAAATGTCTCTGGAAAGGATTACTTAAAGACATAACCAATTTTTTATGCCTAAGAACCATTCTCAAATTGTGGTGCTAATCAAGAAAATTTGGTTTGGTTGTGGTATCATGTAGGGGTGGGTGCGGGTCGGTTCGATTCGGTTTTGTTCGATTCCAGAAATTTTCGGGTATTTAGTAAATGGAACATTCGGTTCCAAATATAATTTTGGAACCGTTCGGGTTCGGTTCGATTCGGTTCCGTACTATAATTAATTTTTTTAACATTTAGAACAGCACTACATAAATACACATGAAAGTAGATACTAATAATAATAACAAAAAGTAGAAACAAATACCAAG